TTAAATTTTGCTTTATTCCTTCTCAAAGATTTCTTCAAAATTTTTCCTACTGTACAGAAAAAGTCTTCTAATCAAACAAACTTTGCAGATTTCTCTTTGTAGTGTGTTAGCCGTTGTAACTGGGAGACAGTCTGCAGCATGCCGATCGTAAACATCAAATTAGTATGGTCCGTAACCGTACTCTGTTGGAACAGATTTGTTCGGAGTGGATCGACCCCGCATGCCAATAGGCCGGCGGCCATTCTGAGTATTCTTTGCCTCATCTACAGTCAATAAAACAATCTTTCAATGGTAAATAAGAATAAAAAAGTGCAGTCAGAGAAGTATCTAGAAATATTAAATGCAATCTAAAACCCAAAAAAGCGGCTTATCCATTTCCCAGTTACCCAAATAATAAAACAAAAATATTATTTTACCCAAATAATAAAACAAAAATATTATTTTCAAAAAGTTAAAAACCTGTTGTGGATCAACTGGACCAGCGGAGATAGCATGATAATCGACTACAGATAAATAAAGAGAGGATGTAGACGGTTCCCTCTGTAATAATATGAAACCTTAAGATAATTAAAAGCTGAAATTAAAAACTTGTATATTGCTGTTCTGATAAATGCTTCCTAGCAATTTAGAAACGCATCTCAAGGTAGAGCACAAAGTTCAAACCTCCTGTATAGCTAACCATGGCTTAATAAACCCAAAATAATTCCCCAGATGCGGCACTCCAGTGGGCTGAATACCGGAGAAGTAAACAGTCGGGTGAGCAAATTTTTTTTCGCCGCTCCCACTGCTTTTTATTCGTAAAAACCTCTTAGAATGGACAGAGTTACGAAAAGCACTTATCATGAAAGTCATCTGAAAATGTTTTACAATCATGCTTCGAATAAAAGTTTCTACATGAAAAGCTAATATCAGCAAAATAAGTCAAAAACAATTACAAAAATAATTTTTGGAGTTACAAAAGTATCAATGCAGCCCTTCAGCTATAAACAAGCTCACTTCTATCGGTCAAAGTTAAAGAGAGGGACAATGCTACTCGGAACGAACTCTTTGCGGCACTGTGGACACCTTGACAGTATCCTTTCTACAAAAAGTGACGAAACACTGTGCTGTAAAATGCAGTACCAACAAAAGATGTGGCCACAAGGAGTACAAGCGGGGGCTCTGCTTTCCAAACAAACTGGGCAGCAGAATTTCTCAAGCCGCTAAAGTAAGCAAAAAGATTACTAGAAATTGCCTTGAAGTCCAAAAAATATTAAATTCAGACAAATAGAATAGTGGATCACAACGAATCCCTACTACTATTTTCCGCAACCAAAACCGGTAATTTAAGTCGTTCTAAACACATATAACTAACTCACACGTACTTCTTCTTGTTTTAACTGCAAAAAGACTTCCTTCTTCAAAGAGCGTGATGCCTTAAAGAACCAGATGAAAAAATTTTGAACAACTTGATATAACGTTAGCAAGCCGAGACAGCGAAACAATCTGGTCCCCTGAAAGGTTAAAGCTGAGAATAGACACTTTAGAGCTCCCAGTTGAAAGCCATTCATGCAGACAGTGTTTCGAAAAAAAACCTGTATATTTGTTCCAGGTTTAATGCAAATGTAGTGGAAGCCGAGAATCCGCTTCACGAAATGATATTGAGTCCCAAATAGGTAAAAAAGCGCCAAATGTAATTTTTTTAATGTAGGTAACAAGAAGATACTATAAAAAATATCTAAAATGTTTTGTTACGCACCTTATATGCAGAAAAAATGACTTTTTCTTATACTGAAGAAACGTGGAAAACTTGCTTTTTGAAGTGCATTGAACTATGCTTCCATCGCTTTCAAACGTTCAAACCTTTACTTACTCAATGATATACAATATTTTGCTCCCCCTCTCTCTATTTTACAACTTACCTCCACCAATGAATGCCAGAAAGAAGAGCTCTACGAAAAACAGGTCTAAGACCCTTCAGAAAAGTAGAGTTCGATTGAAAAGACTGTAAGCTGTGAAGATTAAAGTCGTTCAACAATGGAGGAAGCAAAAGTAATGCAAAAAAAGCGAAACGTCTCCAAATACTGGGTATTTTCAGAGTCCCAGCCTTGTCAGCAAGTACTAAGCCACTACTTTCTTCACCGAGAGTTTGTACACCTTAAAGAACAGAACACTAAATGGTCAACTAATACTAACCAAACCTAGCATCAAAAATTTCCAAACCTAACAACGACGTAGAAGCGTAATATAAAATTTGGGAAAGTGGTCCTAAGTAATTGTACCAACGTGTCCAAAACTGAGCACCTGCTAAATCCTAAAAAGTTACCCTGTTGTGAAACCAAAATGTAACCTCTATAAAAAGAAAAACCAACTTTTACAATGTCAGATATTTCTCGTCGTACTTTCTCAATGCATTGCTCATCCTTTTTTTCCGCTAACAAAATCTCACTGGGCTCCGCTCCATAAAAGTTCATCCACTTCGAACGGCAATGCTTCTGAAGCAAAAAAAACAAATCTTCAACAACCAGCAGAAGAGATTCAACATTATAACTATCTATTTCCGAGTTCCAAACTCCTTAAGCTTTTTCCGAGGTTTGATCTCAAAAAACTTTAATGGCTCCAAGCATTTAGTGAGAAAATACAACCAATGTAAATTTTCAAACAATATTTTAAAATAATCATATGAGAATACATAGTGTCGGAACTAAGTAGGTAAAAAATTTTTTAATGGGAACCTAACTTAAACCAGAATTTATTACAAACTATACATCAAAATAAATCACTAAAAAAATAAGTCGCACGCAGCGAGGTGTCTCAAGATTAATTCAAGATTTACAGTACAATAAAAGAAACTAACTGTTTTCCTTTAACAGAGACGACCGAAAGCACAAGAAAAATTAGTTATGCAGAAGTTTTCAAAGTGAATATTCAAAAAGAGTTACCAATTTTGGAAGGCAAAAACCAAAGCTAGCACCCAGACCTTCGTAATAAATAAAAATTAAACTTTGGCGAACAGTGGTCAACCAAAATGTAGATGCTGCTTGATAATGAAACTGCAAGGAAACAAAGCTTATGTGATTTAAATATAGATGAAGACAGTAAACTTAAACACTTCTAGCCATTTTGGTATTACAACTTTATTGAAACTGATTTTTACGTGAGCACATGCTACCGAAATAACAACCAAGAGTAAAAGGACATACATAATATTATAATCCATTAATCAGACAAATTGAATCAAGGATATTCCAAGTCAAAGAAATGCTGGTGACTCAAAGCCGCATGAAGTAGCTTATCCCATTTTTATTCTGCAGTAAGGTACGCTTTGGTTCTGCCAACGCATGGTCCTTAAATTTTAAATATACACTGTAACAAGGTGAGGAAAGAAATTAACAAAAAATTTTTATTTTTCAATATTTCTAACCTTGTACACTACAAACCACTCGTACCAGACTCCCTCTGTATCAACTTTTCGCTCAATGTGTAAAGTGACCTGAAATACCAGAATACGGTCAAAAAAAGATGACTAAAACTTTTAGAGAAGAGAAAATCAAAAAAGTTAGTCTAGTTTTTACTTCTTTCTGTTCGCAGCTTTATAAAAAAAACAGCAAAATCACAAAATAAACCTTACTTCTGCTTCAGGCTGAAGTCTTATCAATTCTTGCAATGGAATCAGGGCTGGAAACCAACTAATCATGGATTTGGAATGAGTTTCTGGAACAATACTCAAATTCACATCACTATAGAGGTTAGCGGAAAAATACCCAGCGAAGCCCATAAGCTGAAATGATAATTTGGAACTAAGAGATTTGAAAGCGACTGATAAGAAATGTATTTTGTGAAGTAAAACATTGAAGAACTCTTTAAAAGACTTCAAAAACATTCCACAAAGTTTTCAAAAAAAAGACCGTCAAACAAATCAATATGCGTAATTGTATTAAATATAATGACACAGAGAAACAAATAAACTCAACTTTAAACTATATCTAACCTCTGCTTGCATATCAACATTAAAATTTATATCAGCTTCTCTAGTGTTAGGAATTCTAGAGAAGTTCGGATGATGGAATGAGAAAACCGGCTTAGGAGTGTCCAAAACACAAATGGAACGTAAGTGGACAACATATAATTCATCAAGCGGAGAAGCTTCTTCCTGTTGCCTTAATCGCAAAAAGTCTAATCAGCATCAAAATCGTAGAAGCATGACGCAGAAAAAGCTACATCTTCTAGCATCTATACTTCTCCAGAAAAAAAAACCTAAATTTAAAAATTACGGTATTGAGTAAGAGCCGTCAGGTTTTAGTACAGGCAAAAGCCGTCCACGGCCTGGAAGCCCCTTGTTAAAAACGTTAGAGCCGGTGCAAGATCGAACTTTTTGATGCATACGAACAGACTGGATCGGAGCTAAAATTCGAGATAAGTACTAAGGCCAGCTAGAATCTAAGAAATGAAAAACAAGAAGCCATCTGTAACAGTCAATAAAAAACCTCTAGAAAAATAAAAAAGGATTGAAAGTAATGTCGAAAGGTGTAGATAAAAAACAAAGTAAAAAATACCCAAGTAGCTCGTGTACGAAGAAGGTATGCTAACTGTGGTTGGACGAAGGATATCCGTCACGCCATCAAGACACTCAGGAGACAACTCGTTGTCGCCGAAAGAACCAAGTAGCTCAGAAACGATAAGATCAGGTTGTGGAAGCTCACCAGCCTTCACCTTCTCAGTCAATCGACGCATGTCAGAGGCAACTATCGTAACTTTCCGATTCCAGCTGTGTAATTAACAGTGAATAATCTAAGCTTTTATCAGAATGTAATCAACAATTAGGAGAATTAAATTTATGGTAGAAACACTTGTTACGAGCCCTACGGGCTAAAAAACTATCCTACTGAAGTCTCAACATATCTGTTTATAACTAAATAAAAACGTATAGAAATCTAGAAACTAGCTAATGGGGCAGACTAAGTTTTGAAGCATAACACTTACTGCAAAAGGTTGCGATAATTGAGAGTCACTACAGCATTGTCGTTCTTCTCGACTGCAATAAATTTAAACTTTACGTAGTCAGCGAGCGAGTGAGATTTCTCGTTGAATTTTTGCTCGCATTCAATAAGAATTTGCATCTAAAGTTGTTAAATTTATCGTTTTCAAACAAGATTATTTAATACAAGCCAAATTCTCGTATTTTAACCTACTAGGGGCCCTCTACCAGCTCCGAGAAGCATTACCACAACTTCACGAGAATCACCAACGATTTTCACGACATCAGGAAATGCCTTAAGAACTGCCTCTCGATAAATCTCATATTTAACGCTATCTTCCTCAAAAGTTGTATAAGTTCCAGAGTCAAGATTGTCTGCTAGTGGTTGCAGAGGAACCTGTGTGATACAAGGAATATTAATGAGATGCGCTGTGTAACATCTGTTATACTCACCAAAGGATAACTACTTTTCAAGTAGTAAAGAGATATAGTTTTTTTGTTCTTCTTTAAAAAATAACTAAACAAACGACCAAAAAATAAAAAATGAAAAAGAGAACCTGGAGAGTATCAATATACTCTGGATGACCAAGATATTCAAATAAGATCGATTCCTGCTCGTCTCCACGTCCGTTTTGTGCACGCATTACTTTTTCATTGAATAAGGAACGTACGGCATTCGCAAACTGCCTTTTCAACTGATCACTAACGGTTTCATCGCCCACTGGAAATATCATAGGCCGCTGCGTCACCGACACAAACAAATCGGTCAGAAGACGATAATGTGCACTGGAATATCGAGAAGGTTGGGCTATATGAAATTCAGAATAATATTAATGTCGAAAATGAGATCAAATATACAAATTAAAAATGAAATTTTTCCAAAAAAGCCGAACGAACGTTGCAGGAACTTAAACTCACGGCGGAACAGCTACTTCCTTAGGTCTTGATCCGGCAGTAAAAACATCCGTATCAATCCAGAAACAGCAAAGCTTAAAACTCAAATTTTCAAAGTGAAGAACTGTATCAAAACGAGAGCTAAACGCATAAAAAACTAGTAAATCAAATCAAAGAAAACATTTTCAATCTTGATAGTTTTTATACGTAATACTTAAAATGCTGTAAAGCACTAGTTGGTCAATATGAGATGTTCTGTTCACAAAGCACTGTGCTTGCCAATTAATTGTTCAAACTCCCTAGCAAAAAGCGGCGTGACGCTCAAGAGAGTACCGAGTAATTTTTTTGAAGAAACCCATTCTTAATTATAGGATTCTCTAAAACAGCTTATGTAAACTGTCTCTCGCCAAAAAAAAAAAAAAAAAAATTAGTTTTGATTCTCGTCCGCCTCGACCTTTCAAAGAACAGACTGAAACCACCAGTTAAGAACCAGTCAAGAAACTTAATATTTCATTTGAGATCAATGAGATCAACAAGGAAAGCAGAACATGCATAGTACACTGAAATCGTATATGACGATAAAATGCTAAAATATAAAAAGAAAAAGAATCAACTACAAAAAGACAATAGGAAATTCAATACCCTGAAATGTACATTTCTTCCATATCCTAAGGCAGTGGTCTACCAGGCCAGATTTAAACAAGCTATGAAAGCTGGCATATGGTCTTGCCAAAGGCTTAATAAGATGAAAAGAAAATGTATGTTATCTTTTCTGGTTAAGCAAACTTTCGTTGTGAGGTAAAAGTAGGTAAATTTTCTCAGATCCGTAAGAAGCCAAAGTCAATTTGCGTTGCTCTCTCAACTTTCATTCTACTTTTAGCAAATTGGAATGAATACTAGCAGTGATATTTATATCAATTTAGTAAACAAAATTAGTTTTAGGATACCCATCACGCAAAGAATTTTTGAGTACCTCTGCGTCTAGGATAACTAAATAGAAACTGAATTTGGCGGAATACATGAACAGCAAATTTGTTTGACAAACAACTATACTGAAAAAATTAAAAATTTTTTAATCTTGCAACGTAAACTGAACATCTCAAATTTTTGCTATTTAATGACCCTTCATGATTAACTTGACTTAAATCACGCAACTTCTAAGATAGTGGCAGTTGCACATCAGCACGTCCAGTAAACAAATTTTTAGATCAAAAAATTAATTAAAAAATTACCGGTTCCGCATGCCATCTTTTATACAAGCGAGGAGCTAGGAATTCATCAGCAAGATCTGCACATATGCGTAAACCGACAGCCATTTTATTTATCGGATAATTGGTGCACAAAGTGCGGAAATCCGCCCAAACTGACCAAATATCTCGGGAATCCGTTCTTCCAGATATCGGCAACAAATTTTCATCAGTCGGAACAAAAATCCATATACTAAAATCACTGATCCTCATAAACTGCAGTCTTTTTCAATGGAATATACAGTATGCTTAAACTAAAGCGATTAGAAAAAGGCAGCCAATTTAAGCATCCAGCCTTATCTAACGGGCTACATCAGAAATTAATATGCCGGCCTGTCACCCAAAAATGCTGTAATACATCAAGTTTTAGAAAGAAGTTCGACTGTATATATTCTAAAACAGTCTTATTCTTAGTAGTAGACAGGAGGTACCTGAAAGTCATAGACTTGGTCCATACCCATTTGGTTAGGATCTTTGCAAGGCGAGGAGAATCACGATGCTTCAACTCCAAAGTTACAACACGCATTGGCATATAACAAACATAATTTAACTCCTAAATCAACCTAGTCCAAAAAAAACCAATAAATATGCGTTGGAAATGCTTGGTAATATGCCTTTAGATAGGCAAGACAACAGGACTAAAGCGAAAAATTGAAAAGTTATTATGCCTACAAAAAAGTTATTCCCACGGAATCTTTCAACATCAGCGTCTTGAAAAAAGTTAACAAATAAAAATAAAAGAAAATAAAAAACTAGTAGCAACAAACTTTCTCAAGTTCATTACACGATAAATCGGCAAGCCACTTTTCAGATGAATCGCAATCAATCCATGGCGAAATTCTCCCTATGACATAAGTTGACCACAGCTGTGGCCCAAGCTGAAGATCAGGAAGATCAATACAAGGTGGTTGACTCCCTCTGTAATTAAATTGGCTATCAAATTTTAGAAACTATACAAGTACCTGTTAAACTGTAACAAATAATAATAACATTCTGGGATCTGTCTACCAGTGAAATAATAGAATTAGATTAAAAAATATCCGAAACCGTTGCCATGCCAGCAACTTTCAAAAATTGTTGAAACTCACAAAGTTAATATTTAGAGCCACTGCCTATAAAAGTTTTTACTTTTGAATATACCAAAGTATGTTGTTTATCACCCGTAAGTTATCTGAACTACCTAACAAGGTAAAGAAAGTTTGTAAAGAAAGAATTAAAAAATGCTACTTTATCAAAACACTATAATAAATGGTCTACAAACAAGCCTTTCAAAAGAAGTAAAAAACTGACTTTTCTGGACGCCAAACTGCTCTTTTCATTCCCCCGACAGGATAGTTTATAAAGTGATATCCCGCAGAACCGATCCTCGAGCAATACTCAGGTATACGGTGATCATTAATTCCATCTGACATTGTCCCAACCCAGCCAACCATAGAAGAACTCGTAGTTGCATCTCTCTCGTGATACATCAAGACCCTAGCCCCTCAATTGCTAAATATCTGAAATGAAAACCGTCCATTGTCCGAAAAATACAATAAACCCGTCATTTCGCTGAACTCCCCCTATCCCAGCAATCGGAAGACCACAAACAATTAAACGCTTCAAACATTCTGCAAACAATGCGTCACACCAACCCAAATACTACAAACAGCGAAACCAAACACAAACGCAAGACCAGCCGAAATCAAATGTAGCGATCCACCCACTTCCCAATGCTCATTTTGTTTAACTTACAGGAACTGTTTATTACTGAAATTTCAAGCCGACCAAGCACCACACGGCTAAACCATCACCTCCTAAGTGCGGGAAAAACTTCTACCCCCTAAAAATTAATCCACCTGAGCCAACACACCCGAATTCGCCACATCTCTATCCATCCCCCGCAAGTAACCGAACTTTCCAAAATCCAAACTTCCTAACTACAGATAAATCTTCTTACGTCCAAAATGAATCTCCCAACGTTTAGCGAGTGTGGCTACAAGTGACACTAAAAGTTTTCATTATATTATTACACAGCTTTCGAAGAAACAACACTGACATCTAACAAGAAACACTACTCTATCATGTCTCAACTATAAGCGAATTATTTCAACCGCATATAGGAGTAGTTGAGAAGGTACCAAGTAAAACCAGAACACGAAAGTTCTAAACAGATTTATGTATTAAATTCCCCTATAACACCGTATGACTCTGACGGAGACGCTGCAACTTGCTGTCACATTTAAGGTGTAAACTAAATCATCCATATCACATAGCTGTAACTACAAATAACAGCGAAAGAAACGAAACATTTGGAATACGTAAGAAGTATAAGAGAAGAGCAGAGACGGTGTTAGCACAGATCACAAAACTAGTGCAAATCTAATTCTAAGAATGCTGCTTGGCGAGTTCTTCAGCCTTCTTAAAGACGTCATCGATACCTCCTTGCATATAGAAAGCTACCTCAGGTATATGGTCTAATTCACCTGAAAATTTATCATAAAATCTCTCCAAAAACAGTTTTTCTCTTCAGAATAAAAATATAAGTCCATATCAAAACCTTTAAGTATCATATCAAATCCTTTGATGGTCTCGTCCAGAGTCACGAATTTCCCCTCATGACCAGTAAAAACTTCAGCTACCTGGAATGGCTGAGACAAAAACCGCTGTATTTTACGTGCTCTCGACACAGTAAGCTTATCTTCTTCAGACAACTCGTCCATGCCCAAAATCGCAATGATATCTTGTAATGACTTGTAATCCTAAATGAAAATGGCTTAAAACTGACTCAAACATCATAGCAACATCTAAACCCAAAACAAATTCTACTAAAAGCCGCTAGCATCGAAACCTGGTGCTTAAAGCGAGATATTGCAAATAAAATCTTAAAAATGCCTGTAAAATCTTCTGGACTCCACGTGCGGTGTCATAATGCCTTTGACCCACAATATTAGGGTCCATAATTCTAGAAGTAGAATCTAACGGATCTACAGCGGGATAAATAGCCAATTCAGCAATACCACGCGACAACACGGTAGTAGCATCCAAGTGAGCAAAAGTTGTTGCTGGAGCCGGATCAGTTAAGTCATCAGCTGGTACATATATAGCTTGCACCGACGTGATAGACCCCTAAAACGTTGGATGTCGAAAAAAAAAAAAAAAAAAAAAAAAGCTAAAATCATTTTACAGGATCATGTGACGGCAAAATCATCAAAACTTCGCCACCTAAAAGTACACAACAAAAAAATCAACCTTCTTCGTTGTGGTAATACGTTCCTGCATACTACCCATATCCGTTGCCAGAGTCGGTTGGTAGCCTACAGCTGATGGAATACGGCCCAATAAGGCAGACACCTCCGAACCTGCCTGTGTAAAACGGAAAATGTTGTCGATAAACAGTAAAACATCTTGGCCTTCTTGATCTCGGAAATACTCAGCCACTGTGAGCCCCGTAAGGCAGACACGAGCTCGCGCCCCTGGAGGCTCATTCATTTGGCCGTAAACAAGCGATACCTGAATGAGCATTGCTGATTAAATAAAGACAAATAGGCGAAGAGAAAAGTGATTCCGTCATAAACAAACGAGAAACAAGGAAATTATTCACTTTTGAGCTCTTTCCTTTGAGGTCAATTACACCTCCTTGTATCATCTCATGATACAAGTCATTACCCTCACGTGTACGTTCACCGACTCCAGCAAATACTGAATAACCACCATGAGCTTTGGCCACATTGTTGATCAGTTCCATAATCAGCACAGTCTTCCCGACACCAGCACCACCAAACAACCCTAAATTGGTAAAACCCCTCTTAATTTTATTAAATTTGGATCTAGACACTGTAACAGCTAAATTCAATTAGTTAAAAATCTGTACATCTTTGGTACTTCGTGTCTTGCAGTATAGATACTGCAACTGCCAAGTTATAGAAATTTAATCTTTGCTCACTTTGACTTCAGTGACCACTGTATGAGCCAAGAAGCTTCGAATAAGCAAAATCAGAGCAAAAATTTACTCAGTAAAAAAAGAACCTACCGATTTTGCCTCCCTTGGCGTAGGGAGCTAGCAAATCTACAACTTTGATCCCTGTTACAAGAATTTCTTGTTCAACACTCATATCCACGAACTGCGGAGCATCAGCATGGATAGGTGCGTAATGTTTAGTGTCAATGGGTCCCCTCTCATCAATAGGTTCACCAATAACGTTTATGATTCTACCAAGAGTACCAGGACCTACAGGAATTTTAATTGGGTCACCAGTGTCAACTACTTCTTGACCACGTACAAGCCCCTCCGTACCATCCATAGCAATTGTTCGCACAAGATTATCGCCTAAACAAGTAAAAGTTATTGTAAAGCATCCTCACGCGCAGGTCTCCAAGAGTGCCAACAGGAAACGGTCATGTTCCTTCCCAGCTAATAAGCTCCCAACAAATACTTATAATGTCGACATTCATAATTTCACAACTTTTTTTGACTGAATATGACAAATAGTAAAAGTGTTCTTTAACAACCAGACCTAAATGCTGGGCAACCTCCAATATCAAACGCGGTTTACGTCCGACTACTTCAAGGCCATTGAGGATTGGTGGGAGCCCTTCATCGAACTGCACATCGACAACTGCACCAATAACGACAGCAACTCGTCCCTTAGCACCAGCTTTTGAAACGTTGGGCTTCTCCTTTAAATCACTCACAAATATTTTTAGGCCAAAAACGACTCTGTTCGATAAATTACTATGACCTACTAAGTATCGCATTAAAGCGCGAAAATCAAGGAAATAACAATATTACAAACGAATCAAAAAGTTATGTTCTGTACAACCAACTATTTTTTTCTCCTGCGAAAGAGTTCCTCCAGTTGGAAAAGGACGCTGTACACTCGGTTGCGGTTTATTTCCTGAAGCTGTGCTGCTACTACTCTGCTGTCTCACTAGACCTAAAAACCGACGTTAGTACAAAATCGAGAAAAAAAAAAAAGGAAATAGCTCGTACTGAAAATAGAATGGAAGGCAGAAGTCTGCACGCCAAAACAACCGAGCTTAAGTCTTTCAAGATAGGTATTAAGACGTACCAACACATGAAGTAACACGAAAAAATTGTTGTGCCGCTCTAGAAGGATTACTCAGTAGCTGCGGTGCTTTCCGACCAAACCTCGCCAAAATCCGAGAAGCCATTACGGCTGTTCTGTAAACAGAAAAGCAATGATAACTAAAAATTGTTACAAACAACTCGAACGTTAAATAATATTCAGTAGCAGACGACTACTATCATATACATTTTCCTTCTCGAAGTTAATTTTTTTTAATAAATGAACCTTATCTTGAACCCGATTTTGACAGATATCAGTTTGCAATCCAGGGAAGAATAGGCTCGGAAAACTGTTCAAAACCATGCCAGAACATTTTAACGTAAACAATTTCCTCTCACCACAACTAAGTTTCCAACAATATTTGAGCAGTTTTCAAAACTAGCCCGCAAAACAAAACAAAACGCTCCAGTTGTACAAAACTTATAAACCTAATTTTACAAATCTAACACGGTAGTGAGTTATCCTCCACATTTAAGAACCAATACGTTTAAGAAAGTAAACCGTCCCCCCCCTTTTCCAGCAACTGACAATAACGTGGTAGATAAATATATTGGAAAGTTTTAATTAAATTATGTCTAACAACTCCAGAATACTATTATGACAAAAAGATTCTTGGTTTTCTATTTCTTTACCGTTACCCTAACGAATTCATTTAGTAGCTACTCAGCATATTTTACCTTTTAGCCAACAAAATACTCGTTGCAAAAAACTGCCTAAACCAAACTAAATAGAAGTAGAGGTATTTACCCGTACGACCAACACTCCTCTGTCTAATACCAACAGCGTTCACAATTTTTCGTTTTTAGTCTTAAACTAAAATGCAGTCCTCATAGGAAATGAACGTACAAACTAAGCGAGAATCTGAGAACATGCAACAAATTCGCAAGGAACACTGGCAACACACTAAAAAAATTGCACAACTGCCGAAACCAGCACCGAATTCTGGCGTACCGGTCTTTGCTGCGGTATACTTACGTCTGAAACTCGCTTGAAAATCCCTAATGTCTTGGTTCCTCTAGGCTAGCGGTTATCAAAGTGTAATGAGGAGCAAAACAGTACGGTATTATTCAAAAATTGGCAATATTTCAATTTTTTGCTCAGTATTGCACAACTGATCCTTGAAATTTGTATACAACCATAGTTTTCTACAACGGCTGTATAAAAATCCTGTTGCTGCCTCAGTCGAGACAGTGAAGGGCACTCACGGTTAGCGGTACTGTGCCTGCATGATCCGACTTTTGGCTTCATTAAAGGACATACCGAAATCTTTAGAGTGTTGTTTCATGTGTAGGTGGTGTCCGACGAACCACCTAGCCTTTGTTTAAATTCCGACTTTGTATTACTGTAACTCTACACTAATTACTTTGGATTTTGTACCGTTATTGCATAAGAAAGTTAGCGTTAAAAATTAAATTTTTGCTCACTTATTAATGCACATGGATTGTATAGCACGATTCTACGCAATACCGTGACAGCTTCTTTTGAAATTGTGTACTATAGTGGCTGCTAGGTGATTTATTTGTTAGACCTTAGACGTCTAAAGCATTGTAGTTGACTTTACATTTGATTTTTTGTTCAATGTGCTTTCTACTGCTTTTTTGTCTCATGCATTTCCAAGGCTTATTTATTCACACGAGAAATCACTTATTTTAGCTCAAAAATAATTTACTATGGATCAACCTGGATCTGGTTTTTTGGGCCCTGGCTCATCTCGGGGTCGCTTCCTGGATGGTCGCAATAATTCTAATGACTCTGCAAGAGGTCGAGGAAAGAGACGAGGGAGAAAAGTATTGAGAGGTTACTTTTTATTTTTATTTTTATTTTTATTTTTTTTTTTTTTTT